CCTCCTTTATAGTCCTCCAGCCCCTGCTAATCATGTTAGTCTCCCTTGGTGACAACCATGTATCTTTAATGCCTTCAACCAGCCACCCCATTAAGGCCTGCTCCCCCCTGCATTGGCCTAGGTTGAACAGCCTATATCGCAAGGATGCATGGGTGGTTATATAACTCAGCTGTGAAACTTCTGAAGGACTTAGACTGACATCATTTGCTCCCATTGAAGAATCGCGCTCAACACACAGGGACAAAACCAAGTTTCGGGATGCAAAAGCAAGAGGAATTTATTCATACACAGGCGCCTGCGGACGCAGAGTCCCGCTCGGGTCAGGACTTGCGTGCCGGGCTTAGTTTGGGGGGGCTTTTTATAGAGCAGAAGCAAGGTACAGAAGCAGATGCATGGTTACAAGATTATTATTAGTGCATTTCAATGGGTACAAGGTATGAGGAAACAGTATTGCCAAATTCAGAGGGGGCTATGGGTGAAACTGATTGTTATCGTTAACTTCCCAGTAGGGGCTGTTATCACTAACTTCCCGGTAGGGGCCTCAGGGTGGTGGCAGGTGGTCCGACTGCAAACGTCCTATCTTCCACTGCTAGTTTCACAAGACCTGGGTTAGAATCTTGGCTTATCGAATGGCTGATTACAGTTCTTTTTCTAAAATGGCCTTCCTGCTGTCAGTCGGGTCCTTCAAAACTAAAGGGTTTACAAATTTATCCTATTATCTATAACTAGTTATTGGTTACAGAGGACAGGTAAGCATAAGAGTAAGAGTCAAACACAAAACTCCAGTTCTTATACTTGCCTGGAAGGGGAGATACCATGATCCAGAGGTGGTTTTCCCAGGGTGAGGCCTACCCATTGCACTCCAAATGCAATAACCTCTGTAATTTCCCCAAACATGGGCTAGTAGACTGCATAATTTGTGGTAGTGGGTTGCTACATTTACTCTTTTCCCTATTAGAGAAAAAGCAAAACATGGGGCTGGAAAGATAGCTCAGTGGTTAAGTCACTGGCTGCTCTGACAGAGGACTGGGGTTCAGTTCCCAGCATCCACACGGGGGCTGACAGCTGTCCCTGACTCTAGTTCCAGGGGATCTGATGCTCTTTTCTTACCTCTCTGAGCATTGTATGACATGGGTGCACTACATACATGCAGGCAGAACATTCATATGCATAAAATAAAAATAAATAAAATTTAAAAGGGAAAAAACAAAGCTCAAGTTCTAAATGGCTATTTCATACCAGTGGGGGAGTGCGGATAAATATTTAATTCACTGACAGAGTTACACATTTAAATTTCAAAAAACTACATATATTATTGGATACAGATTTTTCAGTACAGTGCAGCTCTGGAGAAAAAAAATGCCCTGAGAAGTGAAAATCATTAACCACAGAATGTGTTTGCAGAACTTAAACTGCACCCAGGCTCTCTTGCTGGTAAATACCTGTGCCTACTAGGCTGACAAAATTAATTTTTGCCCTTTCTAGGTGCCCCCCGTTGGCTGTAACTGACAGCCACTCCCCTCCAAGAACGTACCCTGTGTGTCTTTCTTGTGACATCAGAGCTGCAGTCCCTTCGTCACAAATCCTGTCCCCTGTGCTATCTCAGGTCACTAATTATATGATTTGTTGATCTTCCTGGGGCCTTGCCATCTCCGTGGTAACAGTCTTTAGCTATTGATACTGGTTTCCTTCTCTCTGTCTCAGTGTCTTTCCAGTCATTGGGAACGTCACAGCAGAGCTCACTGAGCCCTTTGTAAATCAGTATTAGCATGCTGATTTTCTTGTCTCCTGACTCAAAGGATGTGATAGCCCAAGCATAGCTGGTGGTAGGTTTCCACCATGGTCTCACCAGTTTCTATGACAGCCTGTACTTCATACAAAGTCTTTCATTTAGGGTGAATTTTGGTGATATTTTATCTTTATTTTCTCCATAATTCACTCTAATTATGGCTGGGTTTTGGGCCCACATGACTTAGTATGTTTCATGTGTAAAATAATAAACAAATAATCCTTAACCAAAAATAAAACTTTTTTAAAAATAAACAAAATCTCACGTGTTCCAGGCTGGCCCTGAATTCACTATGCAAAGAACGACCTTGGATTTCCAATACTCCTGCTTCAACCTTCCAAGTACTAAAATTACGGGCCTGTGCCAACATGTCCAGTATACGTGGTGCTGGAGATCCTACCCAGGGCTTCATACATGCTACATAGGCATTCTACCAAATGAGCTACTGTCCTGAGTTGTTTACTCATGTCGGACCTCTTTAGGAACTAATTTGGACCAGATTCAAAGCATCTCTTCCAGAATCTAACGCTATTCTCCTTTGAAGATTTGGCTTCATTCTTGTGTTCTTTTCATAGATAGATAGATGA